CTCCCCTTCTAAGGTCTATTAAATGCAAACGCTAAAAAATTATGTCAAAATTATGGCAAACCATGATATTTTCAATGCACATATAACACATATTTGTAATCATGTCAGAGCCAAAACTGTTAATGTTTCTTTGTTTTTTAGGGGGTCAGCATGTTTTAAGTTTTAAAATATAATGTGTGGGGGGGTCACCCACTTTTTTTTAATTTGATAGGGGTGGGTCAACTGAGATTTACAGCTGGCAAAATGGAATCTGCCGACCCCCCCTAGGCAAAAGTAACTGACAATCCCTAAACAAATCTTGTTAAAATGGCGTCGTTCATGTTTACGTGATCGGTCGAAAAACCTGTGATATTTCTGATTCTTGGGGGTTCATAACAGTTCAAGTCAACGGTACAACAACTAATGACTTTATTCTATGCAAAAGTATATAACAATCCTTCAATGTTTGTATATAAATGATTTTTTTTAGCTCAGAATTGAGTACATTGTCATTTCAAAACGTCGCCATTTGCATTTACGATCTAAAAAGCAGCCATAAAAGTCGCTCAATTTAACATTAATAGAATGCGGTGTGACAAATAACAAATCAGCCCACAATTTTTAATGATATGTTTCGATCATAAAATGTCAAAATCGAAGACAAATATTGGTTTCGCGCCGAGAAATGTGGTAAATAGAATAGAGTTCATTTCAATCACCCCAAAATCAAAAACGACAAATATCTGGGTGAAGGTATAAAAATTTGTTGCGAAAATGTTGTCGCTGCTGGTAAAATAGATGAATTAGAGAACTACTCGCCGACTAAAATATGACCTTATACAGATATCCTGATTGAAAAAATATGTGAAAAAGCTTGAATTCTTGAATAAACAACCAAGTTGTAAAAAAAATACATAACACTGACTGTAGTACTGATCACGTGACAATGCTTTGCCCATACCCGCAATGCGCCTTTGCCAGGGAAGGAGGCCAATTCACACCTAATACTGTCATGAATTAGTTTATGCATATCGTTGATCGACTTAATTAGCTGATTATTAGCGAATTGCTGTGTTATGTCTGTCATCGTTTAGGCCTATTTGAAGTTTTGGACGGAACTTGGCTCAGTGATTTGGAACTAATTACGAGATAACCGTCACTATTCTGACTACGATTTCTGACAGTTGGTATTCCGTAGTTATTAATGTAGTGAACGATTAATCAAAAGATATGACGTATTCAGTACTTAGTGTGATTGGCTTTATGATTGAAGGTTACGCCCTAGAGTCTTTTTTCTGCTTTGTAATTGGTTAAGGTTTTGAAAATGAATAAAGAGAGTTTTAGTTGGTCTTAGCGAGTACACCAGGACAAGTGCAGTCCTGGAGAGACTTGGGGCGAGCCTTGACGCAGTCTAAAAGAGTCTTGGGTCAGCCTTTCGATAGTCTTGGGGATTTTTCCCCAGGGCGTAGTGTCTTATAGAGTGCTCCACAGACCGACTAAGACGAGAGTTGAACCGTATTTCGTTGTGTGTGTCTTATTTGACTGTAAAGCTTAAGTGACTTTTCCGATCCCGCACCTCAAGGGGACGAGATATAGAGACGAGACGAGATTCCCCCCTGACACGTGTGGAGAACCCAGAGAGAAGAATTTCCCCCTGATAATACAATGACCGTTTCCAGACCGGGCTTGAGGGACTGTGCTTTCGGTGAGAAAAAACGTTCTGTAATCTGCAAACGCGCATTTTAGCACCACGAATTCGACGACGCTCATACTATTGGGAAATAAAAACGAAATTGTATTAGGGCCACCAAATCTTGAATAAGATAAACCACACCATGACAGAATGATTGGGCGAGTGTATATTTTTTTTGAGGCAGCGAGAATGAACCGAGACATTGTTTACAAAACACTACAATAAACTCTCTTACTGTGTGGCGCATGTGACAGCCGTAGGCACCTTTTTTGTCTCGAAATTGGCGTTTCTTTCTTGTTTTTATGACTCAACCACTCAAATTATATCCCAGATAATGACCTCTCAAAATGGAATTTCCGTTTTTGTTCTAATAATTAAGCCACTCCCAAAGATAATGTTTGTTTCCATGGTTTTCGTGACCTTAGAATTTAACTGTTGAAAGCCAGTGTTACGGAGCGCTATTTCTCTGACACTGAGTCTCCGCCCTGTTTGTTTCACTGATTATTCATTTGCGTATCAATATGTCCGACTCAATGTTACGCTAACCATGGAGCTAAAAAAAGTTGTTTTTGGAAATTTGTCCCAGAAATGTTATGTAACAGTATTTCACGCGAAACATCCAGATTGTGTTAATAAAACAGGCTTGAAAATCATTGCCGTCTATGATTTTACATTTTTAAAAAGCTTGAACTGGGACACAGTATGAATTTTATCGAAGGCGTAGAATGAGTGGCGCAGAATACGGCGCAGAATGGTGACGCACAATGCTTATTTTGGGAAATGCGCCGGCGCATTCCGGTGGCGCAGAATATCGATTTTGAGCCTCACACATACCTCATAGTGACATTCAATGTCCGGAACTGTTGCCTGGCACAACAGAATTATTAACAAAATAATAATAATAATAATAATACCTAGTCCTAATTATGAGTAACAAATATCTTATCGGTTGTCAGTGCAGTGAGTCAGGTTAGGTTCTAATAACTAATAATTATACCTCGTTATTTGTTTCATTATTTATTTGCAGTGATTCATAATATCCAGTTTTAGTAATACATGTATAGGGAAGAAATGTGTTTACTTCATATTTGATTTTGCAAAAAGTTGTGGGATAGATATTTGGTTGAGGGATGAGGGCATTTGGGGGGGGTGCTCACATCTTTTCAATCCCAAAATTCTTTGCGAAATCCAATATGGAGTTAACACATTACTTCTCTATAGGAAGCCATTGTCCCACTGATCATCAGTGCAGTGAGTCAGGCCAAGGATGTTGGATACAAATAGATTGAATGGATGGTAAACTTTTGATTTTCAAAGGATTTTTTTAGTAATATTATTTATTCACTTATGGTATATGTATAAATGATAGTTTAAACATTCATCTATCACAGCAAGTATTTGGAAATGAAATTAAGAAAGCATTTCTGTGAATTCATGGCGTCCTAAAATTCAGTAGGAATTCCAAGTGGTTACTCACATTCAGGAGCTACATTTACAAATGTATATCCACAATGCAGCAATAATGAAGATGGTTTTGTATTGTAAAACTTATTAAATAAATTAAAATGTAATACAAAGATTGAAATAACCATGAATGGTTGTTATTAGTGAGATTAATAACAAGTGTATAATGAGATTAATAACAAAATTGTATGTCTTTTCTCACTGACTATAGTATTGCCTAGGCTGTTTTATTGACTATTGACACACCTTTGTCATTCACGCAAGTGTATAATATATTATACAAATTGTTCTATCTCGTCATGCTATGGAGAAAAAAATATGATAAAATAAGAAAGTGAGTGACATGTTTTATACAAGAATACCATTCAGGTTATGGATATAAATTACTAACATCAAGACCTCATTAATTACTGTAAATGTTGCGTATTAAAACATTTTAATTTCAAGAAAATAAATAGCTGCTAAAATATGGATTTTCCAGAATGGATGCTACAACTTGACAATAGCAGCGAATTCTGGAAAGCCGAGATATACGGAATATTTTACAGAAATGCATCTCAAATGGAAGAAAAACAAAACGGAAAATATCATAGATGTGATCTTTATTTTTTTAAATTATCGCTCGGTGGCTCTGTTGTTGTCCGCCTGCTCAACGTCCGCATATAGATTATTTAAATTCGAGCTGGACATGTACATGAAGTTTAAACTATCACTTTCTGGATCAGATGAACTATATACATGTCTATAAATTACTGTTTTTGAGAAATCGATGCACATTCAAAATTGGAATTGAATACAACATGATGATAGAATCAAATGGACGACTCGAGACGTCGCAGCAGTCTGAGCAGGCACACCAAACAAGTCATAGTGCGATAGCTAGCTAGTAAATATCAATATTAGTATTGAATCGTCATATACTTACCTAGCAGCTTCGCCGAACAGTTTCGATACACTAATACCATTTCAATCGTCGACGGATATGCTATGCAATTGATTTTTAAAAGTACGACAGTTGAATTGAGCTCCGTGATATGGCTGTTAGGACAGCTGATTGTAATACCCCCTAAGTTAGCGTCACTGTGTCTGCGTCAAAAAGATGACAATTCGTTCGGGAAAAGATGCGCAAGCAAAGAAAACTTAAATTAAACATAACAAATTATACACAAACTGTCCAGAATTATTCAGAATTATGAGATTTATTGATTTGTGAAGAAAAATAATAACCAAAAGCAAGAGAACGTTGGTTTTAATTTTCGTGGGTACCAAAATAGTGGCTTAACACACGTTAAATACTACATCTAGGATAAAGTTGTGATGTGGTGTGATGCAAAGTAATGTGTACATTACTTGACAGGAACAACATGGACATTGGAAATGACTCGGCTGGTCATGAATTATGGGGTCACGTCAACAAAACAACACAACATACTGCCATTTTTGGAATTGAAAGTCGACAAGAAGTACGTATAACACCTCCAGAGGGCAACTGTCAGTCATATATTTACTTTCTAAATTAGTAAAATTTTAAATTATTAAAATTGTCCTGTGTAAAATACATAAGAATTAAAATAAACATATGGAAGAAGCCACTTTTATTCTAAGCACACGGCGTGGTGGATACTTTACAATTCTGACCGCTGTGGCCCGGAAAGAGGACAGAAACTTTGATCACTCATTACTCTATTCTAGATCGCGGGACAGCACACTATATGACGGTTTTTCAATGACAGAGAAAATGGAATCATCGCGGCTAGTGAAGTCGCATTTACCGGTCGGCGCGTTAACAAAGGACTTATTCACCGAAGGATGTAAGGTACGTAACAAGTAATAGACAAGATAAATAAGTCCGCAACTCGAATAATTCAGCATCTCGTTGTTAGTTAGCGAAACAGTTATGTTACGATTGCAATATTGTCCAGCGGATTATTCTCATGATCAGCGAATAGTGGTCATGCGGCGCATGTTTGAATGTCGTGTAAACATAGAATGTATTTTACACGTGTTGAGACCCATCCCTAAAGCGGTGCGACGACCACCGATGTTTAAAGCGGGAGATTCATCACCTACCCATGCGACAGACGACCATAGCTTGTCGTTGTTTACAAATACGCATCTAACCTTGAACCTTTGCGTTTTAGCGTGCGTTGTTATCGTCGCTTGGGACTCCAATTCCCGTGCGTGCGCAGGTGACGACCCTCCCGCTCTAATCATTCTCCTTCCCAGAGATCCTCGCGGCCAGAACACCAAAAATATCTCTGCCACCACACACCACCATTTCGTGGTGAGAAGCCACAAGACTATTACTACCCATATTCTTGGCACGTTTTCGTTATTAGGAGGCTCTCGTGTTGCTACTGGTAAACAAGTTTTAAAATATTGTGCTGGATTCCCTTTCATTTCTTAACAGTATACTGTTTCTTAATGATTGCTACCTAAAGTCTTTGTAAAAGAACACTAGACTCGGTGAAGTAAGTTTATTTCTCCATTTATTGATTCATTAGTTACCCAGGCGACCTTAGCATCATGTGTCGTAATTTTGTCAGATGTATTTTTAGCAATTTCCATGCGTTTTGTTTGGGTCATTCATGCTCATTTGTTTAGTCAGCGATGACGTCATTTGACATGAGATTTCTCTATCCTGTTATAGTTTTCACCGCTACCCCACAGTCCCTCTATCCCCACTGTGGCTACCCTAACGCAACTGTGTATGAATTAGAACTCTGCCTGGGAGATTGCGCTTTAATCTCTCGGTTACATGTTCAATAATGTTGTAACTTACCATAATAGAAGTTAAGGACTCAATTATTAGTCCCCGTTCAGACGAAGTTCGAAAATGGGGACTTATAATTCGGTCTCCGTCCGTCCAGAGTCATATCTCAGAATACCTTGGACCGATTTCGTTCATTCTTTGCCTGTGCCTAGTACTTTATGTTGGAAAATATGCACATGCAGTGGTTTAGCGATTCGATTCAAAATGGCCGACTGGCAGCCAACTTGTTTTTTTTAAATGCTGTATTGTGGACATGCTTTGTCAGTTTTCATTCAAACTTGGTACATAGATTATACATGTTATGATACATGTCCATGACGATTTATTTCACAATTGGAAAAAAGATGGCCGACTGGCAACCATCTTGTTTTTTGAAAATGTTGTATTTTGGACATGCTTTGTCAGTTTTCATTCAAATTTAGTACATAAATCATACATCATGACCATCCGTGAGTTCCTGAGTCTGTCCGTCCGTGGGTCAGTCTGTCCAGTCATATTTCAGAATCCTGTAGACTGATTTCGTTTATTCTTTGCATGTGCCTAGTACCTTATGTGGGACATATGCACATGCAGTGGTTTAGCGATTTGATTCAAAATGGCTGACTGGCAGCCATCTTGTTTTTGACTCCCGTGTGCGAAGCACAAAAAGGGAGTCTTTGCAGTTAGTGTGTCTGTATGTGTG